AAAGACCAGATAACTTTGAACCAATGTTCTATTAAAGTATAACTGGAAGAATGTTTGTTTGTAACCTTGAGAGAACCTTGCCACTGTTAGCTGGACTGATAGTTAGTGAGAGTCTAATCAGTGAAAATGCATGTTCCGGCTGACTTATCTACCTTTTGTAGCTACTAACACATGATTATGCTTGTGTTTCATTGTCCAGTCCTGCAGTGAGATGATCTTCATTAGAGTTGATATTAGAGTTTATCAAAAGCAGAACAGCAGAATGTTCCCTCTAGTAAACTCTCACTCACTGTTCTGTCTGTAAGCGCTGAGCGAGAGAGCCTGATTGCTTTGGAAAGGCCTGATCACTGCATCCAGAATCTTTAATGGAAGCCTTGTTATCACGTATCATTAAGTCACAGGATGAATAAATCAGGCCGTGTCTCACAAGCTCGTTCACGGCCGCACATAAAAGCAATCTGCAGGTTTGCCTGAGCAAAGAGGAACAAACAAGCCATTAAGAAGCCAGAATCTCTGCCATCATGGAAAAGACTGATTGGAGTTTTAAACACACACACGGCAGCACTGTAACGAGAGCTAACAGGCCTGAAAGAGCCGCGCTAATTGATCAGATGAAGCAAGAGTTGTTGTCAATTAAACTATCAGAGCCACTGGACATATCTCAGGCTGACGGGTCAATATTTGAGCATTTGTCGTCAAAGAGACCCTCTCTGTTCGTAACGAGCAGCACTCGCGGCCTTCAGGTGAGGACGAGATTCCTCCGGCAGCCCAGGAAAATATCACTCAGGCCTCATTGTTCACTCAAGTGTGCTGTTTGCTCTTCAATTAGGCCTAATTCAGCTGGAGATGGAGCTTTTATATCGCCGTCAGCCGCTAGACTTTCTGCTTCACTGTCTGAGCTGTAAAATAATGATCATAAATACTCAGTCAGGGGGGTTTCGTGAGGATAGGACGCTTTTTGGTCAACAGAACTTATATGTCTTAAGTCGCTGGGGTATATTTGTAGCAATAGCCAACAATATATTGTATGGGTCAAAATTATCCATTTTTCTTTTATGCCAAAAATAATTAGGATATTAAGTAAAGATCATGTTCCATGAAGATATTTAGTAAATTTCCTACCGTAAATATATCAAAACTTAATTTTTGATTAGTAATATGCATTGCTAAGAACTTAATTTGAACAACTTTAAAGATGATTTTCTCAATATTTAGATTTTTTTTGCACCCTCAGATTCCAGATTTTCAGATTGTCCTATCCTAACAAACCATACATCAATGGAAAGCTTATTTATTATTATTATTATTATTAAAAATTGACACTTAAGACTCTCAAAGCTATGAGCAAACGTTCTTTCATTTCAAGTCATCTGGTTTTTAATAATGTTCTCAAACCGTTAGCACAAATACGGTATTTATACATTGTTCATGCAGCGTTTATTTCTGAAACATTTTAGTTGGACGTTTGTTGGATTTAACAAATTTAAATGTTACTATTTGTTTCAGAACATTCAGAGAACGTTATAATGTAACATTGCCACAATGTTTGCAAAATCATAAAATGGAATGTTCTCTTAACGTTCACATAATCAAGAATAAACATGTTTAAAACATAAAAAACTGAACGGAACATTCAGAAATAAGGTTTTCATAACTTACAGTTTTTCTGAATTGCTAAAACACATTTCTTGAAACCATCACTCATTTTCTCAAAACCTTAAACACAAATCCAAATACTCAAAACTAAATTCAGGAAACTGAATGATGACTCTTCATCAAAATCAAACAATCACTGCAAAACCATTTCACTTGCGCTCTAAATCAACCGGTGCTCTCAGATCACACGCACACACACACACACACACACACACACACACACACACACACGAGTCAATATAATAAACACTACAGAGCATTCATTAGACACTACAGAGAGAAATGGAGAGCACAGCATCCAGAACAGTACAGAAAAAAAGTATATTGTATTGAGTAAACAATTTTTTTTGCAATTCTGTAAAAAAGTATAGTAATTGCAACTGAGTAAGG